CGCTCTAGTCTACCGTATATAATTTATTTACATTTTGAAAACTTTTCTGTATAGATCCATAGATCTAAATGAGTGGTGCGTAGTGGTAGTCTAGTAGTGAGCTGTGCTTAGTTTTGTATATTTCTACGAAGACTTTTCTTTTTCTGAAGGGTGGTTTTTTTCTGAAGTTTGTACTGCTCCATAATTTTGTTAGTGTCAGAAAATATTCTGAAATTAATGTACTCCTGAAGCAGCAGATCTAGAAGTATAGCCATTAGCTCGTCTGCACTCCTGAGTTCCTCCCAAGAACTTGTTATAGACTTGCTTGATTTCAAGTGAGTTATAACTTTGTTTTTGTCTATTTTCTGCTCTGTAGTAAACTCATCTAATTCTTCTAGCATCCTCTTGATCTCTTTTTCTAAGTTTATCATAAAGTTGTAAAACTCATTTGTGCAGCGCGTGAGTCCTCCCCTATTGATGGCATTAAACCAGTCCTTTGATTTTATGTGTAGCTCATCATTCGTTTCATCGTCTTCTACCCTCTCATCTGTCTCTTCAAGACTTTCAAGTATCAGTAACAAGTCGTGAGTGTATTTGGGATGACTGCCAATTTTTGAATTGATTTTTTTAGTGAGATTTTTAATAAAATATCCACCAACATACCACATTGCCTTCCTTTCATCATCTGTTAATGGTTCAGTGGACCTAGATATACCCACTACACCATGAACAGGGTAAGCTTCTTTCCATAAATTCGTAAACATGTTGTATGTTGTGTAGAAAGAAAGGAGAGGTGATGCATCTGTTACACCAGCCTCCTGATGAACAGATTTCCAAAACTGGACGTACTCTTCAGAAGAACAGAAGTAGCTGAATCGACTCCAGACTTGCTCTCTAATATGACCATTAGCAGGAGGTACAGATGTCCACATTTTAAAGAGAGATTTTAAATAGGCATCATATAGATTAGACCGGGAAGGGGTTTTAGATATCCAATCCAATATTTTTGTAGCTGCATCTTGTGCTTTTTGAATAGCACTTGTTGTTAGCTGAACAAACCCTTTATCCTTCATCAACTGTTCCAGTGTACCTATTATGTATAATAGTTATAAATAAAAATAATTATTGTGAAGTAGCTGACCTTGCAAATTTGTTGTGCTAAAATTGACATCATTTTCTAACTCTTGATCGCTATCTTCCCTTGGTCTCTTTCTATTGCGTGGTAATAACCCTGATGTAATAGTAATACTGGCAGAATCGTTTCCTCGTGTATTTCCTTTAGAGGTTTCGACACGAATGGAATCTACCATTCGCAGAGCTTGGTTGTTCTTAAGAAACTCTGCGACTGTAGGATTTTCATTAACTGAACCCCGCTGCCTTTGGCGGCCAAAAAACTTCTCCAATGGGTCTTGACAAATTTTTTGACTTAAAAATGCCTTCACTCCATCGGTCTTAAAGAGTTGTTGAATGAGGTTAATAAAAGAGTAAGCTATGTTAAGATGTAATAATAATTTATTTCATTTTTATTAGTATATGTACCTGTTATTCTTAATCCCAGCATAGTTTCACTACTAAGCATCAACCTTTTCTTCGCTTCGCCCTTTACATCATTTCTTGCTTTAACTTCATCTTCCCATTTCTTTAACCACGGCAGAAAATCGTCTTGTAACCACTAATATTTTATATCACCATTTATATTAGAATCATATTAATACCTTCAGTCTGAAGTCTTTATCCCATCGATAAGGTGACTTATTAATCTTCAGTTCTTTATAGCAGCTCGAATAATTACTGACATTCATTATGTCAAAAAACTTATCTAACTTCTCAATGAAGTTAGCAGTTTCAGATGCTTCTTCTGATAAATTAGAACGCATAGCAGTTGCAACACTTAAGCTTAAAACCTATCAATGTAGTTATAAAGAATATTTAAAATACATGTACTTATATATTATGTGCTTGTACATACTTGTGCAGCTAAATCAACTCTCATTTTAGAGAATGACGTCAAGTAAATGTGTTCATATTTGAGCTTAGGTAGTGTTGTCAACCCCTTATGCTGTATAGCCATTTCATATAGCTGCTTCACAAAAACCCATGAAATTGATTTACCGTTAAACTATAAATATTTTTAAAAATTGTAATAGTTATTAATGTTATTGTTGACTTACCTCCATATTTCTGTTAGACAGGCAATTTCTGCTTGTTTTTATGAGGTGAGGCGTATCTGAGAAAAACAATAATTTTCTTTGATTTAGCGAAAGCGGATTGTTTGTGTAGTGCTTGATGTTATCAGTACTTAATCCAATAAGATTAAAAAACCTCCGGTTAACTGAGTTGCCATCTAAGGTAATTCCCAAAACTTCTAGATCACACTTCTCTACTCTCATTAGTGCCTCATACATGATCGGTATAAGCTGATCACCAGTTATGCTGCTTGTTGGGAAGGAAGCATAAGGAAATGATAGATTATTAAAAAGGCCTTGCACCATCAAAACGAGTACAGTTTTTGCTAATTCTTTAGAATTGGTATGTTCCACACATTCTTTTTCAAATTTCAAAAGATGGTTATTTATGTCCCCCACCTCACAATATCCAACCAACTCTCCAGTGTTCTTGTTATATACTAGGCCTTCACGTATGTGCATTTCGTCACCTAGTAATAGAACTGACCTTTGATAAGGCTCAGGACAACGAGAATTGACCTCTTGTAGCAGTTGCTTGTCAAGGTCTACAGAAAAGCCAGAACTGCTGTTATAATAATGCGTATATGAACGTAGTGTTCTTTGAGACGGCAATTGAATGCATTTACTTTTTCTAAGTAATTCATATGCACCAGGTGACTTATGTCTCAGATAAATGCACCATTTAAGCATCATCGGGTGCCATCGAAGTGCGCGGGGATCTTTTTGAATTGACTCCATTTGGTTTTTCCAAAAAATATGTTGGAAGCTGTCTTCTGAATAGGTGTTAATGATATGGTGATGATGATCGGTCATGATTGATACAAAATCAGAGTTCATTTCAGAGTCAAGTGTTATGGTGTTAGCTTCTTGTGCTTTTAGCAACTGGCAAATTATTGTTTCTGCTTCTTTAAGTTTGACTTTTAAGTGTTTAACTTCACTTGCAAGATAATCATGGGAAAGATGACGATAATTAGTGTATGGTGATGAGGAAGCTTCTTCTTGATGTGTGTTTTGCCTACTTATGAGTGCCCTTAGTGTGTTACGGTACTGGGAACACTCATGACATCTAACATTGAATGAACCAACAAAGAGACAATAAACATGTCTAATGGTTTCAAAGGGATATTCTTCTAACTCAGCAATGGTCTGCCCTATAAATATACAAATTATTTTAATACATGTACAGTATTTGTAAAATTAAGCCTTACCACTTTGGTTGAGCATCTTTCCTCCTTTAAAATGTATTAATTCAATAAACTTTTCATCACTGCTTTCAGATTGCTAATGCTTTTTAGTGTGTTTATTAATGTGCCTTCATTGTGTAGTACAGTGGGTAAATGAAGAATAATAGTGTAATTAACTGTTCTATTATATGTGTTCAATGTGTATGTGAGAGATGCA